CTTCCTCTTCCACATAGCCCATTCTTTGTGTTTGTTACTTCTGAAGCCAAAAGCCATTCCACCTAAATCCCCCAGCCTGCAGATGAATGAGCCCTGTAGCTTTACGCTTTATAGGCCACATAACATACTCTGAAATGATCATTTGTAAAATGCAAATAGTAAGAAGACTTTTATATCTAACAGTTTCGGTTTAATCATCCTGTGACTTGTTTAAATTCTACTCTGCGTCGTATACTACTTCATGTTGAATATTCTGAATTGGTGAGACAGTGTTTAGTGAAGAACCTCTATTCTTGCAGTTTGCAGCACAGCACTTGGGAGGCATTTTCCCCATGAATTAGATAGCAGCCGCATTGTTCGACATGTCTTACCAACTCAGACAGCATGTCAAAATAAAAGCAAAATAAAGACTTGTGTTTCAGTACAAGCGCAGTTGTTGTTTCCCCTGCTTTTCTTTCTTTTTTTTTCAGGAGGAATTACACTTCAAGCCCATCGGTTTACTTCTTCACTTTTCCTGCCTGAGAACAGTTTCCTCCAACATGCATGTCAGTTAGCAGCATGTCAGACAAATCAAACCTATAAAGAAAGAGCTTTCTACTGATTTAGTTTCTTATAAACAAGAAGAACAGCAACAACAGCGCTAGCAGCATAATGTATTTGAAGCAACGTGGCAACCGATGTTCTCCACTTCAGCACATCAGAGGCGTCCCTGTTTCAGTCACCCTAAAGGTACCCGTTTACAAAGTGATAGGGCTTAGGGTTTTTAACTCGGGGCGAGGGGCTGATTTGAAACCCCCTTTGCTGCCAAGCACATGGACGGCTGCTGATTAGAAGAGGGTTGGCAGCAGTGGGCAGATGCCAGGCGGGGAGAGAGACGACGGCCTGTCGCCAGCCTGCCACCCAACCCCTCACATCAGCCGTGAGTTGCCCCCACCCTTACTGACCCCTCCCCCTCAATGTACAAAAAGAAAAAGGGAACGAGACAAACTGTAGTAGCGCATCAAAATTCAACAATTGTGACACACTGACAGATAAACAAAGTCGTGTACTTCAGCATTTTGGTTTTTTGTCATTTTTTTTTTTCAAACTGATCTCGGGAGTTTTGAGGAGTTGTTTTGATCACATAAAGCTCAAGTCTGCTCTGCTCAGCTAACTAAGTTGCTCAAGGAAAGATCACAATGCAGTTTTTCTGCTTTCCTGTGCACACCCACGCACAAACATGAGCATAAAAAACACACATATGCTGTACTTTGTGCAAGCTTGGGATACTGAACATTCTTTCTCCAGCCCACAGAGAATAAAATATTTTGAGCTTTTTTAACGTGTTTCAAAATTTGGGATTATAAATCTTGTTAGAGCATTTTACGCCCTTTTTTTTTAATGACACAAGATTAGATGAGCAACAATGACTGCCCAAAGTACAAAATCACCAGTACGAGTCCAAAAGAGACAGACCACAAGACAAAAGCCGCTTTTCAGGGAGGACAAACTCAGTGCACTCTGCCTTTAATCATTCTGCTATATTCCAGACTCAATTGATTTTACATCAGCTCAATATGACTACATAACAAGTCCATTTCTAGCTCTTGCCATGCACCTAGAGCTACGGATAATTACAGTAAGGGAGATACATCCATATTTCTTCATTTATCCAGCTGCAGTTAACTCTGCCCCTAAATGTACACAATTAGTGAACACAAGCCTCAATAGTTGCTTTCATTGCGCACCATACAAATAAAGTTTACAGCAGCCATATCCCAGAGGTTCAAGAGTGTATGAAAAATTAGAAATCAATATTAATTTAGTCATTTGTGTTGAGAACAAATATCATGACATAAAGGCTTTATCCTTTAGCTATTTAGTTTAACTCTGAGCAATTTACTCTACGAAAAGAATTAGCTGCTGGTAATCATTGTTACAAGTAACTCTGCCACTTCATTGTTATTTAAAGGTAAATTTTGTTGAGGGGAAATACTGGGAGAGAGGAAATCAATAATTGTTTCTTTTATTCATAAGGGAAGAGAAGATTTCTTATAAACTAACACCTGATATTAGGCTATCATCAGTGAGCAGAGACATTACAGCTACTTTTAGCCTTTAAACAATCATTTGCAAAAGCATCAGTTAGTTAGGCCTCTATTTTTTTTTTCTATAAAAAGGTATTGAATAATAAAAAGAAACACAAAACATATATTTTGTGTATTATGCTTTTGTAATTATTAATAAAAGTAAAGGTAGTACAGGTCTCGGCATCACAACAATGCAAATAATTTGAAATAATGTATATGGTCCGTGGAAATGGTGTTCAGGTACTTTTATAATGGAGTCAAGTAAACTGGCGATGTGTTCAGTTCATATTGAAAGGTCCACATCATTTTCCTCTCTGCTTCTGTCTGACCTCATGCTTTTCTGTTCCTCTTCACTACTTTAATTTCTGTTGGATCTATAAGGTCTTTCTCTGCCTGTCTCTGTCTACCTCATCGCTCTGTCTATGTGTCAATCTCTTCATTCCCATCTCCTGTATCTTTATCAACTTGGGACTAAAATATCTTTGGAGCCTTTCTGAAACTGAGACCTGGAATGCACTACTGTGGAGTTTAACATGCGCCTACATAGACACACACACTCTCACAGACACACGAACTTGTGCACTTTAACCAGCTAACAGGTGTACTTTCACAATACCAAATGGACACAGACTTGCATTTACGATTTAGATGCACGTGCATATAATTTAACCATCGTATATGCCTTCAGATATAAAGCCTCACAGACCATGCATACATATACACACTTGTTGGTACAGTACTAACAGTTAGCCCATGCCCTGTGTGTAGAGGAGACAGTGCCCCCTGGTGTGGGCCACTCAGTACTCCCGGTCAATAATATCTTGACCCGATCTATTTTGAGAGCACTCATTTACTCTTCTGGGATTGATTACTCCTGCCTGAAACATGGAAACCAAATGCATGTGCAGAAAAAAAAGACAAGCTGTTCTGTAAAATTCACATAGATCATGAAATAATTAAGGATGTATTAAATAATCTGTAGTTCTGTAATCTATTAAACAATATATATCTTTTGTCAAACAATAAAACAATTTAAAAAGGTACCTACAGTAAAACTTTACTTATATTACTCTTATTTTGTATGTATTTCCGGGAACAGAGTTTTTAAAAAGTGTTCTAGAGGTCCAGCTACTATGGAATTTTAGGACAACAATGTTAGGTTGTGTCAATTTTAAGAATAATCAAATGTAAATTTCTGTTGAAAAAAAATGAGAGTAATACAGCATGTGGTTAAAATTAACAAATGGTAACTTGCCTGCCTTATGCTATAACTGTATGTAACGGTATAGTTATATGCTGTTATAAACAGTATTAAAATGTGAAAATACACATTTTGGGCAACACTGTGTGTAAGTGATTAATTTGTTCACTTTTTTCTTTAAAAAAAATATGTTTAATGATTAAATATATGGACACTTTGAGTAATTTATAACAGATTGTTGTTATTATTTTTATTAGTATTGGTAGTAGTACCAGTAGTAGTAATATCCACATATATAGTATTAATCAAAATTTACTTCTTTTACATTAGATTTTATGTTAATTAGGTGTGAGGCCTATATATAAATTATTCACACATGCTAACAGGACACCTGTTATAGACGAATTAGTACAAGAGAAATAAGTTAAACTGATGCCCATATAAATGCACAAACAGATCACAAAACATCACTATTTCCCAGTTATTATGCCCCCAGAACAGACTGTTTTACAACACTGCCACACCACAATGCAGCGAAGGAATAAGTAACTTATTAGATGAATACACATTCATTTGAACCAATCCAGGCTACACTTTTTTTTCCGCCAACAGCTGCCACCTCGACTGTCTGTTCCAAAACTGGTTTCAGGTTGTCGCCACGGCGTGTTGTATCTCTTTTCTCCAACAGAGGTCATAATGCGTGTAATCACAAATGACTATGCATTAATTAGCAAGAAGACAGGCCTAAGTGCACACAGATATACTACAACGCGTACAGGTGAGCATCCAAACGCACTGACCAAGTAAACAAGCTTGGTTGGAGTTGGTGGTTAATCTTGGTGTCTGCATAGAGGAAACACCGCCCTTGATGAGGCGACAACAGCCCACAACCTCCTATGTAATTACTGGTGATGAATGAAATTGTAATAATAAGCGGAGGCCATGTAGATGCGCTAAGTAGTGAAACTTCGGGAGCGGTGTACGCCTCCCGCAGGCCAGAGCGCGCACTGCGTGAGGAGCGCGTACACATCGGAGTCCACATACGTTCATGGATGTGTCGGTTTGTGAACTACAGGCAAAATAACCAGCTGCAAGTGGAGAGCATTGGCCATTTTATACTCTCGCTCCTGTTCGATCTCCCTCCTCAGCCTTTCCGTTGTTATTGGATTGGATTTAATCACACAGACACCGTGTACCACAGTCAACTTAGTTTTAAAGCAAAATAAAACGACAAGAAAAAAAAAACTGTCAGTAAAACAGATGAACTTTTATTTCACCGCCCTTTCTGCGCATGTCATGTGCTGCAAAAAATACTCAGCCTAAGAAGCCAATTAAATTGGATTTAACCGTTTTTGAAATAATGAAACTGAAACGGACGTTGCGAGTCGATTGTATAATCATGGTGAATTTCTCTTGAAACAAATGGAAAATGAGCTATAACTGCGAGGCTTGGACTTAATAATTTGGGATCACTATAACATTTAGTTGGAGGATATGTCTGATACTAAGGGGGTGAAAAAAAAGTTTTAAATAGCCTCATTCCAAGTCAAACGTCTATTCATAGGACGGACGGACGCTACGATTTGCCGTGCGGATTCTTTGGTTATGTTCCGAGGCTCCATTTCTATCAGGCAGAAAGGGGGCGGGGATGGGATATTCAGATGAGCCGGAGTGACAGCTCCTGTTTCCCCCAATGCTCTGTGTGTCTGAAACTCCACTGGCTCGTTCCCTCCTAACTCCTCACTTCATAGTGCTGCGTACTAAAAACATCGGACGCTAGGGGATCAAGACGCATGCCACATTGCCTCTATGTGGGCACTTTAACAGATCTTTCGGGGGGTTTTTCCCAGTAAGGGGGCAGTGGAGGGAGGCCTTTTTTTATTTTCACTCTCTGATGACTGTTTGCACGGCTGATTATTGAGTTGATTGTTTATTATTTTGGCCGCTGTTGTCCGCCGCCTTGTGCGTTTTTTTCCTCCCCCTTTTTGGATTCGGCGACCTAACGCGCGCTCACCAATGTCCTATCCTCAGGGTTACCTCTACCAGCCCCCGGGCTCTCTGGCGCTGTATTCATGTCCGGCTTACGGGGCCTCGGCTTTGGCCGCCCCGCGGAACGAAGACTTGGCGAGGTCGTCGTCTGGCTCAGCCTTCAGCCCATATCCCGGGTCAGCTGCTTTCTCCGCTTCGGCCGGTGCAGGCTTCTCCACTCCACTGTCATACTCCACGGATCCAACCACGGGATTCCCATCGTACATGGTAAAACATCTTCTTTGTGTTTCTTTATGATAAAGCTTCAGGGAAGGCGATTGTCGGCGTTTTAAAATCGCAGGCGAACAGCGCCGATAAATCGGTTTGCGTTTTCTTTTTTTTTTTTTGTCATGATTCACTCCACAGAAAGTAGTTGCGGAACTTTACCATGGAGTGCTATACATTCATATCTGGTGGCCTCCTAGAGGGTCCTCGCTATAAAAATCTTTGACCCCCTTGGCTTAAATGGGATTTTTGATCATGAGCCGCAGATTGGAATGGCTTTATTGACGCTTAACACTTCCTGCGCAGTTAATTGTATAAAATGGAATACCTAGGATTGCCTTTTAAGCGTCTAGCTTTTAAGCATCGACTTTATGCGCCATAGAAATCGAATATAACACAAACTATGACCCTTTTCTTCATCAGCCACGCACTAAAATCGGGAATGGATGGGGTGGTATAATTAATGGTTAAATAAACTAAATTTTAACACGAAAAGCATGACTCGCAATGTTAATGACACAGGGCACCTCAAGCGTTCTAGGAAAGGTGCACATCAAGTGATTCGCTAATGGGATTTCTAATGCTGCAAAGAGACGATATGTTAACACATTGGAGCTGCCACCATAAACAAAAAGCAGCCACTGAAAGGAAATGAGTTGGTTAATAGGTGATTAAAGAAAATTAAAATTTCCTTTTTGTTATCTTAACTGCTATATAAAGGAGAACCCTGTTATTAGTTAATCCGATAATGATCCTAACCATTAGTTAACCATTACTCCTCGGCTTTTTGTGGCCTGCTTTTGCCCACGATGTGTTCAGCATCCCTGTTTACAATTAGTCCTTTTTGATTCAACCCGACAAGTGGGTTAAACCATAACAACAATAACAACAATAATAATACTTAAACAATTAGTTATTATTTATGCTTTGTTTATATGAAACAGTCCACTGCATTCCGAAATCCTGCGACGATATTTAAATCACTTTATAATATATAATTGATATAAAATGAAGATAAAATCTGGTACTACTTTTATATTTGAGTCCCGTCATGTTTCACTTGTTTGGACACGTTTTTCAAAAAGGAATGGTTATAGGCCTACTTTTTTTTAACACTGTTGAATAAAGCATGTACAGTTATTGCTACTTATGATGTAATTTTTGTCTTATCATTTATTATTATTCGTCAAAATGTAAAGCTTATATATACATATACATCTGTAATGTCCAACGTATAGGAAATTGGTTTTCAATATAAGTCACTTTGTACAAGCCACAATAATGTCATTTTTTTAAAATTCTTTTTAATGTCAGTCTAACTCAGCTCAGCTATTGACTTTTTCTTTCTTTCTTTTTTCCTCCAACTTTTATCCAGTCCTCTCCATACGACGCGCACACCACAGGCATGGCCGGGGCGTTGAGTTATCCCCCTTACGGGAGCCCAGGATACCCCTTCCAGCTCAACGACCCGGCTTACCGCAAAAATGCCACCAGGGACGCCACGGCCACCTTGAAGGCCTGGCTGCAGGAGCACAGGAAGAACCCGTATCCGACGAAAGGAGAAAAAATCATGCTGGCAATTATCACCAAGATGACCCTGACGCAGGTCTCTACTTGGTTCGCAAACGCCCGGAGGAGGCTCAAGAAGGAGAATAAGATGACATGGGCACCCCGGAATAAGAGCGAAGACGAGGACGAAGAGGACGGGGACGGCGAGAGGAAAGAAGTGGAGCGCTCAGAAAAAACCCTGGATAACAGCGAGGCTTCAGCGGAGGATGAAGGTGGGGTATTATCCGGCGACCAAGTCATGATCAATTCAGAGTTGGATGGGAAGGAGGGGGTGCCCCTTTTATTTACTTCACAAGTTATTTGCTGCACTGCTGCTTTATGTCAAAATATCAAAGAGATGAAATTATAACTCAGTTACGTGAATTATAGTTCTAACACACACACACACACACATATATATATATTTAAAAACAAATATTAAAATGTGTTTGCAAGACAGTCGAGTCCATGAACTATTTAGGTAGCCACGTTGATTGATATCAATTTTTAATGAAAAACGAGGTTCTAAGACTCAAGCTACACGTAATGACCTGTTAGAAGGAACATTTTATTTTCTTAAGCGTGATTAATGACAGGTCACTGGCAAGCAGACACCGAGCATAGCAGTAGCCATAAGTGGTCTCAATAAAACTAGACTGTTAATATTGTTACGATGAAAACGTCGACGTGCATGATTATGTAAAAAAAAAAAGAAAAGAAAAGAAAAAGAAAAAAGACAGCACAATTGTTATGGTATAAAATATACATTAAATCCAGCCTACTTTATAAATGATGCATGTACCACTATTTACGTAAGGCTGGCTGTAAAGCATTAACGATTAACGGACTTTATAAGTTTTATACAGTTTACTTTTGAGACTTTCTCACTTTCTTTAACATTTCTAACCCTTTTCCATTTATTTGCATGCTCGTCTTAGGCATCAGCTTGCACGTAGATACCCTGACGGATCACTCCTGCTCGGCAGAGTCAGACGGGGAGAAGGTCAGCTGTGTGGGCGAGCTTGGCTCTGAACAAGCCGGCGACAAATGCGAAGAGGACGGCGAGGACCCAAACCGCGACCAGCGGGCTCAGCTTTCACCTAAACCCGTCACGTCATCGCCACTGACCGGAGTAGAAGCTCCAGTTCTCAGTCATCACCATCACCACCACCACCACCACCTCCACCATCTCCACCACCTCCACAGCCAACGCGAGGATTTAGCACGGAGCCTCGTCAGTAGCAACAATATTAACACCAATAAATCCTCCTCATGCCTTGACAACAGGCCTTCTTCAGGAGCGCCTCCTAACCCCACGGTCAAACCCAAATTGTGGTCGCTGGCGGAAATTGCTACCTCGCACCAAAAGCAGCAACAGCAACTGGGGCAGACAACTGGGCAACCAAATTGCCCCTCCTCCAGCGGTGGACTTCTCACTTCCCCAACGCCTTCCGCAGCCTCCCCGGCTGCCAGTTCGCCCTCCCTCTACCCGCCCCCCTCCATCCTCGGAAGACCTATTTATTACACTTCACCCTTTTATAGCAATTACACAAACTATGGCAACTTCAGCCCCCTGCAGGGTCAAGGGATCCTGCGGTACACTAATTCATCTGGAGTGAGTCTGGCTGCTGCCGCCGCTGCCGCCGCCGCCGCCGCTGCTGCAAACGAGGGTCTCAGTTCTTCTCAGCAGGCTCTGGAGGCCAGCACAAACCCCAAACACAGGCCAGACTCTCCCCTCGTTAAAAATAATCCAAACCAGATTGTTGTTGAGCAGCAGCAACAGCATTTCAGAACCGCAAATTTAGAAGCAAAGAAAGGTACGTAAAATATGACGCGGTAAAAAAAAATCATAATAATTAAAAAAAAAGAGAGACTGACTTATGAAAACTTATTTAATCTAGTGTTGAGTCCTAAATTTGTATTTTAATTCAACCCTGTAAGGAAATGGCGCCACGCTGGAGGTAAAATGAGCTCACTTGTTTCCAATGCAAACTAACTGGTTTTCTTTTTCACTTCCATGTGTCACTGCAATGACACCAAAGCATGATCTGAACTCTTTAGCCTTGTTTCGCGAAAGAAAAACAAAAAAACAAATAGCAACAAATCAGAACAAAATGAAGCCTTTATATTCAACCGATCTTTCACAAGAAACAGCTAACACGACGTGATTTTTCATTTGTGCTAAGAAGAGTACATTTTTAGGACTGAATATGAGACTAAATGACTTATTAAGTTGGACATTTTTCAGCGCAGTAAGGAAATGAACGCGCACTATGGCCTGTTATTCGTTTTCATTGCAGTAATCTCCCGGAGTAATCAATTTATAATTGCCCACCAGCCCTTAAAAAAAACAAATTTTAATCTTTCCGATGATCCCACGGGATCATAAGAATCCGGTGACGGGGTTTCTATTTGCAACAATCTTGCCTTACAAAGCAGTAGGGATATAACATACAAGCCAATTGCAAACAAAACTTACAAGATCGCGTCTACAGATACACATTAAAACAACACTATGAAGGACGGGCCTGAATTAAGCTTATCCATGCGCTCAGACGCGCGCGCGCACCCACACCCACACACACACAGTGGGCACCCTGTGAATCCAATAAGCAGACAAAATGTTGCCATAGTTTTGAGCAGGAATCCTATTTTTAATGTTTCCTGTGTGTGCGCGCGCGCGCAGCGGGCCCAAGACCTTATCTTTCAACCTGGAATAATTCTAATTACACAGGGTCAGCCAAAAGCAAACAAATGAGTTTGTTTGCTGTGTGCAGTCATCGTGGAACTTCACGTTTTCAAATGTCACTTAGGTAGCTGTGGTGGTTACTTTCCTTGCGCACATTTAAAGCTTTCCCTACATGCCGACGAATAGCTTAAGGACGTTTTAGTAGCAGTATAAGCAGAGACCCCCCCCCTCATTTTTAATGAGCACTTGCAGTATGGAGGTGTTTTTGTTCATGTTTTCTGTGGTGGTGGACGAAATTGATCATTTGATCGTGTGGGACTTTTTTTTTAATTTCCATGGTCTGCAGGTAGGTGTCACAATTGCTTTGACTATAAAACGACAAAGGACGCCACCCCTTAGCCTCACGTTTTAACCCACATAACCTTTACTCCAAATCGGATCTGGTGCCACCATTTAGTCGGAATGACAGCTGCTACCGCTTTCTAAGCCCCACGCAGACTGGGACTTTTTCTTCAGCTCACGTTTGTCAGAATGTTATTGTATTATTTCCGCCGTTCTGTTTGAGGCAATTTGGACGACAATTACATATGCTGGTTTGAAACCGATCTCCCATTATATGTGATTTACATGTTATTTCTCAGGTTCCTCTAGTTTGCTTATTTGCCACGGTATATTATTTCAGTATATATTTACGTGTGAAAATAAAAACTAAAATTTGGCCTGAAACCGAGGTGTCTTGGGAACGCAAAGTGGACCGAATTGAACTGAAGTGAACTTGAGGACTTCAAAGTGGAATAGCCTACATTTGATATTTATTTTTTTAAAAGGATGGCGAAACGATGCCTATAATTTATGCAAGTTGTATTGCAAAAATGGGAAACTGACATCGTCTGTTTGTTTTGTAAATATATATACATATATACATATATATATATATATTATGGACGGTTTTTATTTGAAACGCATTTGGGAAAAAGGCAACCCAATCTTGTTATCAGGAGTACTTTTACTAATTTATATCTTTGAATGTAAATAAAATCAAAACTCGCTGGTAAAGATATACTGGTGGGATATTATATCCATTATTCAAATGAGAAAATATTAAACTGTTTTCCCAACTATTACATTCATCTTTGGCAGTCTTTCTTTTAGTCATAACACTGTTTAACACTGTTGCATTTTTTATTCCTTTTTTTTATTCTCTCTGCTCATTATTCTTTTGTTTTGTCAGTTGCAGATGGGAGATGTTTGATGAATCTCACTTTTCATAAAGATTATGAGTTCTCACAGATTGCACAATCCATTCTTTCTAAATGGACAATCATTTTCTTTTAAAGCGTCTGGTCAGGGGATCTCCCTCGGTCACATATTCAGGACCTTGATGGGGATAAACGAGATGCTTATTTTATTTCATTTTTCTCCCAGCTCCCCTCTCCCTGCCACACATTTATTTTTCAGTGTGATTAATACAGCCGTGGGACGCATCGGGCATTATGGGCTCCCAGCGGGGCCGTCCCTGGAGCTTTTTAGCCTGGTTCAGGATGGGTCAGCACTGCCTGCTTCATTACAGCACGGCATTGAGCAATCCATAAAAGTCTATCTAAGCATCTGCCAGCTCCAATGGGCTGTGTGATGGGCCCTAATCGGACAGGCTTTTCACTGCTTTTCATCATGGCTGGATATTATATCACACAGCTAACTGAACAAATTAGAAAGAAAAAAGGTAGTCTTTAGTTATTATTATTATTCTAATTATTAATTTAAATATTTTGTCACCTTATTGTGATATAAGGTATGAAATACTCAAATATACAATATTGACATCCTCCAAGAAGAGGCCTCCATCATTGCTCCCAGCTAGACTAAAAGCTAATCCTTCATTTTCCAGTTGAATTTGTGCTTTGGAGCAGTCCAAATGTCATGGGACCCCCACCCCTCCCCATACCAAGGACGTAATATTTAGCTGCTACCAAGGGAGCAGTGGATTTAACCTACCTTAACTCACTTAGACCACCTTTTAAGTTAATATAAGTCTATGTGACATAAATGCATACTTTGCTCTTAGAGTAAATAGTGTTACACTCCCAGGATGGTGTAAAAGTCTCTTTTGGATTATTCATGAAACCATCACCAATTTTTTTTCAGGTTCTTTGGTTCATCAGTGCTGTGAATTGAAATATTTTATCATTTACCTCTACCTCACTAACAGACTGCTGCAGTAGACGGAAGACATCAACGTTATAGCACCTGGCCAGTTTCTTCCTCAGTCGAAATGCTTTCATTAGCAGCTGATTTATTGAAATGCATACTTTATTCTCAGGTGGGCTCCCCCAAGGACACGCACTGTTGTCAAATAGCACCAGAGGCAGTCTCGAGAGCACATAGGGGCCCTGCCTCTCACTCGCTTTTTCTTTCTGTCACCTGCTGCTGCTCCCTTCAAATGTCAACATTTGTTCGCAATAAAAAGTGTTATTGTTTCATTCAAAAAAAAAAAAAAAGAGAGAAAGTGCTCGGCAACCAGCCACCTTTGAACACATGAAAAGAAACTTCCACCCCTCCTCTTTGTTTGACTGAGAGCAACGGCAGGTGAAAATAAGAACAAGGCGGCCATTGCACATGACAAATTTCAAGCTGTGAAACCCCTTATGAAACAATTGTGAATTTATGCCACAATTAGTCACAATTGTGCAGAGGAATTCCTGACTCTTTTGAAATAGCTCTTCTTTGGTCCACATCCATTCAGACTATTTGTGGAAGAAACTAGGGTAACCTTGACACAGCCTCGATATTGATCCTCAAGGGCAAAACAGACGGTTTGCTTAGTACCATAAAGCAATGTTTTAGTGTCGGGGAATGATTTAAACTAATCTAGATATTCTTTTAGTTCCATGCACTGCATACCAAATAAAGACATAATCCCATCAAATAGCCTACCAACAAAGATGTGATCGTTACTAAGGACTAGTCGTCATTGAAAACTACATTGATGTTATCGCAGGGCTCATAGGCTTCATGTGAGCACAGACTTGAGAGCAAGTGGACTCATTCCCCTTATCGCCGATCAAATAAGTAGCTCGCATATGCAGATAATTCATGAGCTCTGTGTATCTTTTATCCTCCTATCAACACTTTCTCCTCCAAAATGGCTCAAGCGTTTATCTCTGATACACACCTGCTGAAGCTAAAGTTTCACTGTAGCCAATTACTATTTTACAATTGTCTTTTACTGGAGGTGCAGTGTTAATTTGACATGATGTTAAGGAAGACTATTAGGCAGTTGACTGATTTGCTACAGATGCCCAGATGTTAAAAGAAAAATTGACACTTGCATATTATTTTAGATTCAGTATGCATGGACTTCCACATGTGTCTATCATGGGCAGACAGAAGCAAGAATAATTAGCCTTTTTTCTTGCGTTGAGGATGTAATGCAGCTATTCTCTTGCATGATACAGTGAGATCATGTTTTTAAAATTGCATATAAAACACTAAAAAATAACCAGCTAAAATTCCAAGGTGTGAACTTAGCTTTAAAGAGCTCTATCAGAAACAATACCACTTAATTTTTTATAGCAAATTTGAGGTCTTGTGTTAAAGTAAGGCAAAATAATATGAAAAGCACCATTAGCCTTTAATTTAACCTCTCCTTTATTTTAACCTGTTTGATGCTATTAAACCCTCCATGGTATACTCACCCATTAAGACCTATCCATAAATACTGCTGATGTTCAGAGTCAAAGGTAAGTACTACAAATATTCAGGGAAAAACCGAGAGACCAAAGAGAGAGGCGTACAAATCAGGTGCAGTTGTGTTTAATAAAACACATCAAAGCGAATGAGGGGGGACGTTAAAAATGAGTCCAAGGTCCTGTCCTCTCGTAAAGGTGTCAAGTGAAATGTTCACTACTCTGGATGATCAAGGGGAGAGTAAGTTGTGCAGGATTTCATAGTGATCCTTACGGGTCTAAGTCCACACACACACACGCACACACTCGCTCTTAGACTGAGACACGCTAATACATGTCCGCACAAAAGTCTAAACAAGGCCATTAGGAGCCTTGACTTCCACTCCTAATTGACAGTTATGTTTAATGCCTTTGGTGAGTAAACACTTTGCAGTAGTGGACTCCACCTTTAGGTTGTCAATCAGGCAAAAATTGGTAGGCGGCTGTGAAATCTCCTGCAAAGCTGAACATAAAAGGTAAGGTGCAACATACATGCGATGCAATTTATTGAACTATTAAAGCCTCTGTGTGTGTGTGTGTTTGTGCGTGTGTGTGTGCGTGTGTGTGTTTGTCAAAAGCAGTTTGTGAAAACACACGCAACATAGGTGTATTTATTTAAAAGTGTTTTTCTCACAACTATACCATAAGCACAAAAATAAGTTCATAATGCTGTATATACTAACGCAACTCCATATCTACATCAGGTATGGAGAACCTTCACAGACATCTAAGTATATACTTACATACAGTATATGCACTATAATGAAGACAACATATATTCTTAACAATACTATGAGAACTATTGCGTTTACATGCATACTTTAACTGAAAATTCCACTGATAGCGCTGCACCTTTTATTTTTCTAGGTCATACAGTGGGACATTAAATGATACACATCACATTATCTAAGTATCGCACATACACAACATGCTTGTTTGCAAACACTAATGGTGCACTCAGTGCTGGACCTTGTTATAAGTAAGAAACAGAATGAGTGACAGCGTGGTGACATGAAGCATACGATCAGAACAGTAAAAGATGCCACTGTTACGTAAGTGTCACTACTGTCCCACGTTGTCATTTTTGCTTCACACTCTCAATACACCACATAAATATGTCCAGTGGTCACACCCACACAACCCCCCCTCCCCACACACACACACACACACACGCACCCAGAGACACAAATACAAAGGCACAAAAAGAAATCTGTGAAGAGTCACTGAGTGCTGAAGAAACAAACAGCCTTAAAATACAAATTCATGCAGATAATGAGTCTTAGGCATACATACACATACTGTATATTGATAAAACTGTATGCAGAAGGGTAGGGTCAAGACATTTCTTCCATGTTTTAGTAAGATATAGACAAATCTGTGTCCAGTACAGCTCTTCAAGTCCAATATTGTGTTTGAATTAAGGATGTCTTCAGATTTATAGAAAGAAAATAAGTCAGCAGGGATGATATTGGGAATTATGCGGTTAAATCTGATATGTGTGATGTGCTATTTATGTGCAGCAGCACTTTTGCATTATGCTATATAAAATTATTAATGTAATTAAACTAATATTCAATTTGGACTTGTGTGTTTGTCTGCACATGTGGGAAGGTATGTTTTCGAGGATTCTGTCTATCCATTGTACGTTACTGCTGCTCTGCAAATTGTGATATGTTAAAGTTAAACCTCCACACCCTGACCTGTCAACTGTCAGCTTTCATACCATTGAGTGCAACAACTGGATGAGGTAAACATAGATTTTTTCCATCTGTATTTTTCAAGTGCTTCTTTTTTTTCCTTACTTTTCTTTTTTTAAAAATCACAACATATCTGCACTGAACCTTCTTACTCCGATTACGTGTTCTGTTAGACATATCAGGGAAGTGATTCATGTTAAATATCTGTCAGACTTGTAGGCTAATTAAATGAAGCTTTGCTTTAAAGATAATATTTAATGTCATGACTTTTAGCATGACCGTGGCTTTCAAGCTAAACTGCTTCCACAGAGTAATAGCACAGTGTGCAAATAAAAAAAAAGCATTAATGTGTTGAAGAAGCACTGTGACCTAAGATGATCATTTAATGAAAATATCCAGGGAGACATGCCTCGAGGCACAGTTTGAGGCACTATATATTAGCTGCCAAAATGTTCACTTTAGGCTTTCTTTAAACATATTGCATCACTTCAAATTATATCTAGATGTTATGAATCAAAGGAAGCTGAAAAGCTTCTTGGAAAGGTTGGGAAACATCTTTAAGACCAAAGAGCCATTTCAGTTACTTTGACTGCAAAACATAACCTTGCTAACAGACAGTCAGAGAAAGCAGGATGTTCAAACCAAATATCATTTTTTGCCCTTCTAAATTAAATTGGAGGCATTTTCAGATGAATGAATAAA